CTATCGACTTCGAGATATGCAGTAGATACATTAGCGACCCCGAAGGATGGACTGTACGCAAGGTGAATGCCGAGCCTTCAAACCCTACTTTCTGTTATTCTGTCTTGCGTCTGTGCGTCTTTGCGACTGTGTGTCTGTCTGTCTATCTGTGTATGTGGTGCTTGGATAACACGGGTGCATGTACACGTCGCACCACGTGCGATGCAGCATGTCCCTCCTCATTGGTAGATTTGCATTTTGGTGTCACTCTTAAACTAGGTCACGAACCGCGCTCAGTGTTCGTCACATACATGTACCAATGACGCACATGATTGGATTAAAGAGATAAGTGCGGGTGGATGGCGAAAAAAGCAAATATTCGACACTTCATGACAGCAAAAGTCTCACACTTCAAAACAGTACATGACAAGTGATTTTCATCCAAAGCACTCTATGAAACGATATAATAAGAATTAATGTGAACCTTCTCCTCTCGTTGGAAGAAGAATCTTCGTCCATTAGATTTCCGTTACAGATGTGTCCAATAGATGTCATCGGTCGCGTTTGTTATCGACGGCGTTCCCGACCAGTTATCCACCACCTTTCTCATATTCGTCTCTTTAGATCGTCAACAACATCAACGAGTGCCTCTCACATACAACGATGTAACTACACTTCACTTTTAATACACGACGCACAACCCATTCCCAAGTCGTCCACCACCCCAAATGGGTGTGTGTGTGTAGATTCTTCAGAACTTAATCAGTTCTATGGACTAATTTACTCAAGGGCGATCTCCACGGCTTGCGTATGGACGTAATGCGTGCCCGATCGCAAAGTTTCTACACGTGAGTGTGCGTGATGTAACGGAGGCATTCCGTTACATGATATTTTACATAATGCAAACACAATAATCTCACAATATTATCCTGATAGATAATATAGCTTCCCTGATTTAACACACTGCTCATTGGTTGATACAGGATCGATATATAAATTAATAAAGGCTAGACACGACAGAAGCATGCAATGAGTGGTGCGTGGCTAGTAACAATGCATGTATGTATATAGACATAGTTTAAAATGGAGCTAAATATGGATTTACTAAAAGGATCAACTATACTAAATACAGCTCTACTTTTTCGTTTACTATGTACTCTTACTCCGTACAGCAGTCTACCTCTGCACGCACGTATACCTGAGGTAGTCGGACGCACATCCACTGTCGGTAGTGCAAGGTTCACTTATTTAGATGAATAAAGTGACGTTACACCCCTTTATTTGGGTGCCACGTCCCTTCACGTACACTCGTACGTGCACAGAAAGCTAATCTACTCAGCTAGTTTGAGTAAAGGCAAAAAGAAAGATGTATGTGATATAGTTAAGCTATAATATAACTCCTGTCTTGATCTAACTATATTAACCTACATTGTCGTATGACGAAAACCTGTTCGCTACCCAGCGCGTCTAGCAGCGATTAGTAGTGGTTGAAATGTCTTTTGTCAACCAATATTCGAGCAGCACGTGAATATTATCTCAAGGAATAATATTCCTTCAATATTACCTATCTCGGGTAATATTGGCAGGAGATCGTCACGCGAGACAATCTCCTTATTGACACCGTTTGGTGTCAACATCATGTAACGGACTACATCGCTACAAATAAGGTGTCCCGCGTTACGAGTCAGGTGACATCCAAATTATTCATTGCGAGCCCGAAGGGCAAAATGACGCTATTCGTGATCATGGAAAAGGTGAATGCCGAGTATTTAAGACCAACTTTCTGTCTATGTGTCTTTGCGTATGTAAGTAGCGCTAGGTGCATTTGCACACCCTACTTTTAATGGTGCGATGTAGCATGTCCCCACTTCGTAGGTGGATATGCATTCAAGGCGTCACTCTTTGATAAGGTTACTATTGTTACCCCTGTAGATTACTATCTTCCGCACTTGCAGCAGCAACAAGGGCGACCACCAACGATGACAGCAGCCTTTGTCGACAGTGCGATAGCCTATAAACCTTTTTGCGATCATGAGTTGTTTGGTGCGCGTCGCGGGGATGCACTATTATCCTAATGCTCCGTGCGTGCTGCTGAGTCTTCAAGTCGAAATATCAACACAATTAATCGCTATACATGTGCCCTTCACCACCGATCACGTGTTATTATGCTTTGGAACGACAGCTCCAAGCCGATGTATTTAAAGAATGACGCGTTTTAGGCAGGTACCGACTCAAGAGTCATGAGCGGCCCAAAGTCGAGAAGCTCATTCGGAGAATTAACAGCGGGAAGCTGTTGCAGCAACAGCGACAGTGACAGCAGTCACCAGTCGAGTGGAGGCGGTGGTACGCGATGTGTGCAAAGCAATCAAACGGGTATGGATGAAAGGCAAAGCGTGGACCAGTCCAGTGTTCGAGGATCATCGCAATCATCCTCGTGTGAATCCGAGGCTTCCTCGAATGAGGCAGAAGTTCTTTTCCCGTTCGTCTGCCAAAGTCGTTTCGTGAACGGGTTTGAAGAGCTGTCAGCAATTGGCAAAGGTGGATTTGGTCAAGTTACACTCGCCGAGAATCGCTTGGATGGACGAAGGTATGCGATCAAACGGGTTGGTCTTAACTTGATGAACCAGACGTCGAAGACTTTGCAGAAGTTTTTGCGTGAGGTGAAAATCCTAGCGCTGCTGGACCACGCTAACATCGTTCGGTACTATCAGGCATGGCTAGAAAAGGTTGAGGAGAGCACAAATGGAACGTCGGTAGCATCGTCGTTAGTTGCCTCAGACATGAGCTCAGTTGGTGGACTCGCTGCTGCGGCAAATTACTCAACAAACAATCTTCTCGCACTGATCTCAGAGCTTGAGTTTCCAGGAGACCGACGCGACCTCGAGAGCTTCTACAGCAATGGAAGCGTGATCAGTGACAATGCCGATGATGGTGGGTTTGTCTGGGAACGTGAGACGTCTAGTATGGAAGGTGAGGATGGCTGGAAGGAAGAAGATTTGGTCGTGCAAAACAAGCCACGCATGAGCCACTTGCCTCCCCGTGTGTCTTCGTCTTGCGCACCGGCTGCTCATGGTAGCGACGAGGACTCTTCATGTAACGCAGCAGAAAAATGTGATCACTGGCTGTACATTCAGATGCAGTACTGTGCTGGCCGCAACTTGGCGGACTATCTGGCTGTTCCAAGCCGCCCGATGGAGTTGTCGAGAATGTTGAAGATCTTTGTGCAGATAGCAAGTGCACTTGCGCACGTACATTCGTGTGGACTGATTCATCGCGATCTGAAGCCAGCGAATATCTTTGTTGCCGACGTGGAGAGAGACGAGATTAAGTTGGGGGATTTTGGCTTATCGCGCTACGCTGCGAATGCAAGCAGCCTGAATGCCTCGGCAAGTCTTGATGATCCCCAACAAGGGTATCTTTCCAATGGTGTGCGGGACACTCCTCTATCTGTGTCGGTGTGGTCGAACATGTCGGAGAGTACTGAGGTGACTGCGGGTGTTGGCACGTATCTTTATGCAAGCCCGGAACAAGTTGCAGGGAAGAAGTACAACGCCAAGACGGACATGTACTCGCTGGGAATGATCCTTTTTGAGCTGTGTCACGACCGCTTTGGCACGACAATGGAGCGATACATCACTCTCCGTGATGCCCGAGACAGTAAGTTCCCTGCTGATCTCCGCGCGACAAAGAGATGTCCTGAAATCCTAGACATGCTCAGCAAGTTGTTAAGTCACGACCCGAGTGCGCGACCAACAGCCGATGCAGTCGTTCAGTGGGGGCAAATGATGTACGAAACGAGCCTTGCTCAGAAAGCTATGGATGTTGTGCGGTCGCCGCGCAACCTAGGCATGATTCGAGCTGCAGCTGGTGCAAGCTTTTTTGTGCCGGGTATTGATCACTTCATGGTTGGCATCGGCGAAACAGTGGTTACGACCACGTTTTGTCTGAAGGTGGAGGCTGCAATGGAGCATTGCAATGGTGAGACTGGCGGCGAGCGACGTTTGCCGAACCATAATTTATTGAAGCAAATATGCGATGTGATTGCCGGGGTTCACGATGGGAAGGTTGAGATCAAGAAGTGTGGATTGCACATGGAGAATGAGGGCGTGACGATTCTCGCGTTTGAGTTGGACCCACAGAGTGCTCTTGCCGTTGCGCCTGGCAGTGACGTGGAAGGCTCCGTGGTTTTGGCGATCGAAGCCCTCGCTGGAGTGCAAACGGTGCATCGTGTGAGCAAGATTGATTGAAACTTGGTGCCAGTGTCAAGAAAGAAAACAAACCAAGAGGTTCGGTTTCAATTCGAGTACAATGAAGACCCGTCGTGCTTGAAGCGGGCGTGAACCAAGTTCGCCTTGTCGATCAAGTAAAGCAACGAGGACATGGGTACCAGCTGGTCAAGTAATGGTATGTCTTGCAGGGTTGTTGGGTTATACTTGTCGCAGGAAGATGAACAAGCACGACACGAACATAGCTCTGTATGTGTTCAGAGCATCAAATCAAGCGTCTATCTACCTTGCCTGCTGTCAGGTCTCCACGCCATGACAAATGCACTCCATCGCACAACGTCGTGCACTGGAAAACCATGCCATCAGTTGTCGAGTATCGAAGAGCAGTACGTTCAACGTTGGTGCCGATTCGACCAGTACCCCAAATCCGCCCGTTGGTGGAGGAAGACACGCCTGCATCCGAGTGTAGCAGTAACGAATCCAAACGAGAAGCGGTGTCGGAATTTATCCACTCCTGAAGAAAAGCACAGGACACGTTATGGTTCGACCTTGTTCTTTACCCAACGCGCCGTTGACAAGTGTGAGCATCATGGCTTCGAGCCTGAAATCAAAGGGTTAACGTGGTTGTATGTCACCTTATCTGACTTGTCTTGGTAGATCAAGGCCAGCAATGTTATTCTAGGCTTGTCGCAAGCTCACCAACACCTCAACCCCCTTGCTCCATCCAGTACCCGATTGCTGTCGCTAACCCTTCCTTCATCAAAGCCGATCCGAAAGCGCACTGTCTTGCTCCACCTAACGCCGAATGGAAGGTCCCGCGGTCTTTCGGCGTTTCGGGTCTTCCTTTGGTGACGCTAGCGCAGCCTCGTAAGTCGGAAAAGCGCCTTCCTTCCTCTTTGAATTGTTCGCGCTCGGGTTGCTGGACGACTTTGACTCTACCAGAGCCTTGTTAACAACTTTATTCGGGTCTTCTTTCAGCGCCGTCTCCAACCCTTCCGCAATTTTTTCCCATCGAACCTTGCGGTCGTTCTTTTCTTGAGCTTGTGCAAACTTGTGTGCTTCATTTGGCAGACGCTGAATCATGGATTCACTTATTTCCGCAGCGCACATGCGTTCAATCATCGAGGCGTAGGTCAAGCCTTTGAAACAGCGACGGCCTAAGTAATACATTAGCATCCCTTTCGCAATTGTAGACTCCTCCCCCATTTGCGCTATCGTCCGTAGATATTTATCGTTGTCTTTGCTCTCGAGCTTGCCGAGTAAGTGCAAATATACATTACGTACTGGGCCGCGACGACCGTTATGGGAAACAAATTTGTATCGTTCAAGCAGTCGCAACCGGTCCGTCATGTCTTTTTCTTCCTTCAGGTTGGAGAAGTTTAGAAGGTCGGAAGATTGGTCGAACGTGATGCCGCGGTTCTTCCAGGCTTCTAACATCGCCGCCTCCAAAGCTGTGAATATCTCTCCGTCATTACGACTAGCCACCTTAGCTTTTAGCAAAGCAGACGCGAGTTTGGTTAAGCCATCAGCTTTGGCACAATACACCTCTACCAGCTCGTGCATCAGCTGTTCTGCTGTCCAATCCTGTGTTTTCTTCTCCTTCAAGGAGTTCCACTCGTCTGCGCTCAAAAGGTTCTCATCCGTTTTCTGTTGCAGTTGCTCGATGATACTCGTACGCTTGTCGATAGGTTGAGAAGCCACAGCAAGCGCATGCTCGATGGCCCTCTTCCTTTTTACTTCCGATTGAGTTGCCTTAGCAATCGGTTCCTCATTGATCCTGGTACTGTCTGCTTCCAATCGAGAAGCCACACCAGGCGAATGCTCGTTGACCCTCGTACTGTCTGCTTCCGATCGAGAAGCCACGACAGGTGCCTGCTCTTTTTCCGCGAGCGAAGGCAGATCAAGCACTGGTGTCGCCACGGTTCCGCTCGACTCAAGACGCTCTGGTGCATCGTGTGCGTGTCTGAGTCGATCCCAACCTTGAGCACCACCGGAGGGGATATCATGGACGTGCATCAGCTCTTCCGCTCGTCCAAGTGCGACATGATCCCGATCTTGAGCAGCAAGCGTGGGGATAATTTGGTCGTGTACCTGATCTTCCGCTTGTCCAAGCACGAATCGATCCCAACCCTGAGCATCAAAGTCGGGAATTTCATGGTCGTATGTCCGCTTTTGCGCCCGTTCAACCACCGCAAGGAGACTGTGCACATCCTGAGTCCCTGTCCTGTCTTCGCCATTTGCTTCGTCGTCGCTTTGCGACATGCCGTCGTCGCTGGCGTCGCCCACCCGGTCTTTGGGATGATCACTGGAATGAAGATCCGGCCGCAGCGTCTTCGAACCTGAGACAGAGTATCTTGAGAGACTTTCGATGAACGCGACCGCGGCGAGGAGCTCTGTGGTGTAGATGCGCATGTTGAAACGGGGTCGGGTGGTTGCTTGTGAGGCTGGCGGCGTCTTTTGTAGTGACCAGTCGTGCCAGTAGTAGAGACTTTGGTCAGAAGCTGATCCCTTTTCTGAGCCACGATCATCCCACTCTTTGATCTGCGTCTCTTTTACCTGCAGCTTCCTCTTTACTTTACTTCAGTAGTGACTCAAGCCGGTTTGTCTCGTAGTGGCGGTGACCAGCATGGGCGACTTGCAGCTGAGCCTAATCACGCGTGACAAGGGCCGGCAGAAAGTGCATTGTTGTGGGCTTTTGATCGAGCAAGTCTCGCTTTCTATATAAAACGTATCTTCTACCTTGGCATTGGAACCGCTGGAGTGGACAAAGCTGTTGTCAAAGTATCAGCGACAGCACTGTTCGTCTCAGAGCTGGCCCGTAAGTGCGCATGAAGTCAGCGACGACACTAAGTACTACTTCACACCATACCACTCCCGATTGGCGCCTTCGGGCAACAATCCCAAGCGACAAATACCTCTAAAGAGCCGGGCGATCAGGTCCCTAACTCTGGGTGGGAACTTCCGTATCGTGAGGAATCGCATGAAAACATGGACGTTCGTTCAAGAAACTGACAGTTAGACTATCCATTAGCCTTAGTTAATATATGCCAACAAGGGTAAGCAAAAAAACACTTTAGAAGAGACGTCACTCGAAACGTTTCTTAGATTAGTAGGACCCATCGCTTTACAAACGGGCTGCGGTCTTCAGTTGCGAGACGACGGCTCCTGCAGCGGCGCGGGTGGGAGCCAACCCGCGACGGCGAAATCTGTAGCGGTGGCAGCTGAAGCGGTGGAAGTTGCAGTGGAGATAACGAATGCTTAAATGTAGTCAGATGAGCCGCTGTAATCCATTTCTCTTACCCATTGACGACCGATGGTGGACGTTTCTACGGCACAAAAGAAGATCGAGTTTGGACCGGATGCTCGGTGATGCCGGTCAGCGTGCAGCATTATGCGAGTTTTTGCATGTCACGAAATTCCCCGCCGTTACATCCGATCATTTCTCGGCGGCTGCCGAGCGCGTTTGGACATTCGATGGAGGCATATGTATGTCAATGGAAGCGGATGTGGTGGGTATTCTGTTCTATATGTATCACGACATTATGGGTGCAACGCAATCGGGTCGTTCACGAAGGGCATTCCGTCACTTTGGCGGGATGTATCCACGAATGCACAGTTTTAAGTTTTCGGCAATTACACGCGCTAGCGCTGCGAGAGCGTAGACAGCTACACACCCAGGTGGCCGGGACTCGTCTGATGCAATGCATTGGACTGCTCACCATGGCCCTATCTAGAGCACCGCACACAGCGGTGAGTCACGTACAACCACCGGATCATCCGACACCGGCGTTGCTATCCTGGCTTAGGTCTTTCCAGACGTCTTGTACACCATAATATCGTATAATAGACGGTCTGTTCCTCTCTCTCTCTCTCTCTCTCTCTCTCTCTCTCTCTCTCTCAAAAGAAGATCGAGTCATTCATGTCCGTCTACTGATCAATGATTTACTGAATGATACGACGCGATACTGTGTCGATTGAATGACGTGCCGTAATAAATCACCGGATGAGCCGCAAACTCAGTGAGTCAGTTACATGCTTGGTCGCCAAATTAGTCCTTCATCCATGTCAAAAGCGCAGATCAGGTTCTTCATCCACATAACCGCCCGCGCGATCCTTGTCTAGTCTGAAGCATCATCCATATCATAAAGTGCTAATCAGGTTCTTCATCCACATAACCGCCCGCGCGATCCTTGTCCAGTGTTAAGCAAATGTCGACGAGAGGATGCAGGAAACAAGGACAGACACCTTTGATACTCGAACACCTAGACCTTGTTTACCTTCTACACAAAAGGAGAGCGCACAAGACGCGTTCACACACGCTTGAACTGCCGCGATCAAGAGATCGTATCACGGGGGTTGCCTGCGAGGACGGGGAGGTAAGGACATAGAGTGGCCTGAGCAAGCTACCCAAAAATTGGGGATGCAGTCCATTTGAAAAGCAGATGGTCCTGCCTATCTTAGATACGTTTCTATTGAAGTTCATTCTAAAGTGGCCTTATTCTTACCCTTGTTGGCAAGTATTAAATAAGGCTAATGCATAGTCTAACCGTACCACAGATTGTTCAGGCGACCACCATGTTTTATGTGATTTCTCCTATCTGGGGCCACGATAAAAGGGGGAAGGCCGTCTTGCCGCTGCGTGCGCTACAGAAGGCAGCGCAGCGAGTAAACCGAAAGGGGACGAGGTGAAGGGAACGGCAACAGCGATTGTCAATCCCTTCACCTTCACCTACACCTACTATTTTGCTTCAGCCTTCGAGTTGTTGGCCCGGACGCCGAGCTTGACTCTTGAGTTTAACGAAGCGAACTTGCCGAGAACGTGATCAAGATCGGTCTAGTCCAGGTACGTCCGCGGCCCATCGGGGGTGAAAAATCGGGCTGGTCCCCAGCGTTTCCTGCGACTTCAGCGCCCTGTCTGCACCCCGGACTGGATATCCGATTCCACTTGCCCTCTGCGAAGTGTCCCCCGTGATGACCGAAGGCCGAGCCAGGCAGACTAAGCCAGCAAGGAGAAGATGATGTAGTTTAGGCAGCAGCTCACCGATATCGTATAGGCCATGAGCACTTAATCGACGTTCAGGATTTACCAAGTAGCGTCATGGATAGATAGGTGGCCATCCGATGCGGAGTGATGCTGCTTCCGATTACATGGTGATAGCAAGATTTGGCTGCGTCGGTTGTCCCCATTCGTACGAGTACATACTTTCTGTGAGCAGAAAGTTTCTCAAGTCGCACGCAAAAAGGTGCAATTGCAAAGCACGAGCTACACATTCAGCATTCGTGCATTTAGGGACAAATGTCCATGACGGGAAACGTTGACTTGTGTTGTTGAGTGTGCGCAAGTTCATGACAATGGCAGCGTTATGCTCGGTAGGGTGTCATGTTGCAGCAGCTATAGCAGGCGACGTCCTAGATAGAGTGACATTCAAATGCAACCGAAAGGTGGATCGTGTTCATCGTCCTGCCTGCTCCAGTACTGTGTCAAGAAGCTACCAAGCACATGGCGTGGCACATCAAGATTTGCGTGTGTGACCTCTCCGCTACTTCTTTCTTCCGGCACAAACAGATGTACCACACATTCCGCCATGAATGACTACAGTAGCTATGGCTCGTCCAACGATGACGATGTGCTGAAGTGAACCAACATGCGATTTGCATGACAGACCAAGGGTTGGTGACGGCTGATGAGCACGAGCAGTTTCCAGGGATTGCCAAAGCTGTAGAAATGAGAGTCATTTCACTCGCATTTCTCACTCGCAAACCATCCTTCGTCTTCGCTCGATCGATGTGCCTGCGTTGTGCAAGAACAGCACGTAGTAGTGCATTAGCAGTAGTCTGTCTCTTCAGCAAATCCGTCGTTGCATCTACATGATCACGCACCCATTCACACTCTATTTCTGATCAAGCAAGCTTGAATGGACTGTTTAGCACTCTAGTGTTGGCCTTGACCGACACACACGTTGTAACGGGGCACCCTGAAGCTTGTACTGTCACCAGTACAAGCTACTTATTCTGATGACAGAATAGGGCGGTGCCTCGTAACTTCACGTACACTCGTGCGTGCAGAGGAAGACGGTAAGAAGAAGCGAGTACTTGGTTAGAGTAAAAAGTAGAACTGTATTTATAATAGTTAATGTCTGCAATAAATCACTATTTATCTTCATCTAACTACGTCTGAATACAAATGTGTAAATCAATTATCTGCTCACCACTCATTGCGTGCGTCTGTCGTGGCGCGTCTTCGTTGGTTGATATAATGGCCTGTATCAACCAATTAGGAATTACTCGTAAGTGCTACAGAATATTTGTCCTTATGACAATATTCTGAGAATATAATTTCTTATAAATTGTTATGTAACGATTCACCCCGTTACATCACCCCCCCTTAACCATCAGTCACTTTAGTGACTGATTGACTAAATGGATACTCGTCCCAATCATTTGGGACAGGGTTTGCACTTGTTGGTCCGCGTCCGCTTTCCAACATCTCATCGCATGGTAAACAAGCCCATGCGATGCGCGAGCAAGGCCGCCGAGAGCGCGTCCGCACGTCTCTGTGCGGACGCCGAGGCAGAAACAACAGCAACTGGTGTCTCATCGGTTGCTGAAGCGACCCAGCCTGTGTCACTTGGTGATGCAGGCGCTGGTCATGAAGACACTCATGTCTTCACAGAGTACGAGCTCGGTGTCTCGTACTCTCCTGATACGGATGACGGATCCGTATCGACGGCGATTGAATCTAAGCCGCCTGCCAAGCGTGGCATGGACGATGCTTTGCGTCGCAGCATCTTTGGTTCATCTGATGAATCAGATGAACCATGCCGAAGCGAAGGCGCTCGAGGTCGCGAGACTCGGGCGCTAATAGTGGTGTCGGTTCTCCTATGGACACCACTTCACAGCGAGGTGCCAGTACTTCTGTCGGCACGTCGCAGGAAGAGCGGGACCGCAATGTCTTGCGTCTCGCTCCAGAAAAGAAGGCATGGATGCCTCCAGAATCCGTCATGGATCACTTGTCGGCGACGACGAGTGATCGTTATCGAACACGATTGTTCGATTCGTCAAGGATCCATCACCTTGACCCCAGCGCGAAAAACTATCGCGCTGAACATGAATTCTTCATCGATGCTTTCTTTAGACATCGATGGTACAGTGGGATTCACAAACGTGATGGTCCCTCACTACTTCAGGCGTGGAACGCCTACATCCATAACCTTGAGGATGTAGGTCGTGACGCTTGGAACGACAAACTTATCAAAGCTCGTGATAAGTTTGAAAAGCGAACCCCGACAGGTGCACGCTACAAGCTGCATCGTCTGTCAAGGGAGAAAGGATTACCCTGCCTCTCTTGGGGAGACTCGTGCCCATGTTGTGTGAACAACTCTGCACGAGCACCTAAGGAGGCTTACCTCCTT